ACACCCAAGATGGACCCCAACCCATTAACCAGCACCTCACTACTTCTCCCATTTCTTAGTTAACATTGGTTAAGCCACAATCCTCAGTATAAGTTCTGAGACAGGAGCAAGGATTGTTATTGTTTGCTTTGGGAACACAACAGGTGACCATGCAACTCTTGCTGTTGTTGGTCTAAACTCTCCCCCTATTACTTCTGCAGGAAATTTAAATTAATGCAAACAAGGAGACAGAGTTGCTACTCGCTTCTGTTTCTCAAACACCCTGCTTGAGTTTAGGAAGGATACAGAGGTAAAGGAAATATGCCCTCCCTCCAGTCTCGGGGAGCTCCCTTTAAGTGGGGGAGGCAAACATATGCAGAATGGACTCCAAAACATGTCAGTGTTCTAACAAAGGTAGGTGCAAACGAGATATCACACAAGCCAGTCTAGAACGATGCTGTTAAGAGTTAAGCTCACAGAATGGATCTAAACCAAGTGTCTTTGGCAGTGTGTCTCCTTGCAAACAATAGTAACCGTCTTCCTGTGCTGAATAGGTGGACCAAAGTTAGGACAGTCAACCTGCCAACTTGGTGAAGTTGGTGCTTTCACCCCATTCTTTCATATTATTGAGGAGGAAACTGAGGCAAGAATGAGTTCAATGATCACCCATAATCACATAACTCTGGTGAAGTGGGGGAGCTGGGACCCAAACTAAGCTTGTAAGCCCAATGGCCTCAGGGAGGTATACGGGAAAGATTTATTAGGAGATATAGCTGTGTGAGAGAAAAGCAGACGGAGTTCGGTAGTTTGGACAAACCATCAAACAACGATGTTTTCTGATCCCAAGTGGAGAAGGGAGAGAAAGGAGCTCAGGCGGAAATGGCTACTGCTCACATCAGGTGCTAAGGACAGTGTATCAGCCATCAGAGTCTTTAAGACAAAGCGGCCATGAAAGATGTATGTGTTTCAAAAATGGGTCTCCCCACTACACTCACACACAGCTTAGGTTAGGGTCAGCCTGGAACAATCCAATCTGCTCAAAGGGAAAAGTCATGAGGAAGGAGAGGAATAAATAACCATTGTGTGAAAGGCAGAAGAAGGTAGTTTCCAAAAAAAAAAAAAAAGCCAGGCAGAGGCTAGGCACACTGACATGGTGTCCCGTATGTCCACCCATGACCCTCTGCCACACACAACAGGAACACAGGTTTCTCCCACCGTGTGCTCTGTTCCTTGGCTTTAAAGTCACATATTAATGCACAGAGTAGACCTTGTGACTCTCACTCAGCTCGGATACTAGAAGAGTAAGGCTCATCCGACTCTCTTAGAATTTGAACTTGGAATTCCTTGAAGTCAACAGATTTCAAAGCTGATACCAAGACATCTAAATCAACCTCCACAATACCATGTGTTCCCAAGACAGCTAGAAAAAAAAAAAAAAAAAAAGAACAGCAACGCATCCTTTTCAACAAGTTGATGTCTGGGCCACCTCTCAATCATCCACTGTTTTTTATTTCCTTCTTCTTTTCTATTTTCCCTTTTGTGGAGAAGGTCAATGCTGAGTTTGTACTTTGTGCTATAAATGAGCTGCTAATAATATTCTATGTTGGGCATTATTTCCTCTGGTGCTTTTTATGGGATGCCAGGCCTTTCCTAGACTATGCTCTACAATACTTAACTTGTTTGCAGTGGGAGGAAGATGGAAACAGTCTATTGAAAATATCAACCCTTCCTTCCTGAAGTTTAAAGAGTCTATCATCTTTCTTTTACAGTCTGCCCTGCAGGCAAAAATCCACCCCCTAGCCCAACTAGGCATGATGAAAACCAGAAGAAATGGTATACAAGGAGTTAACCCTTGCTAACTGAAAATATAAACAACCACGCAAATGTGGCTTAACTCCCACATTTGATCAGGAAGGCTATCCACCCTCTTAGCTTAGAGTCTTTGACCCCTGAGGTTCCACCTTCACCTGTGAACCAGCTGGGGATGGTGGACAACTGATAAGATTATGAGCTACTGCCATTAGAAAGAGTGCTGGAATTGGAGGCACGAGGTTCCGTTTCTCCTCTAGGTGGGCTAGGTAGCAGGGCAACAGGCCAGCCCCAGAACAGCAAGGTTCTTCAACAAACCCAAAGCAGAAATCCAACTCAACTCTAAGAAACACCGGCTTGTTTGTTTTTTAACCCTTTTAAAGGATTCCTCAAAGGTCCAATGGTCACGATGCCTGTGCCCATTCTGAGGACGACTGCGAGAATAAATGAGAAGACACGGGGACTTGTATGAACTAATCCTTAGCATACTGTCGATGCGCAGGGGATGGCTCCTGTTATTTCTGCTCTTAGTTCTAACAGCCCGATCCTCTGTAGCCTGACACACATCGCTAAATCTTAGCAAGCCTCAGCCTGGAAATGGAGTGGGTACAAAAGAGGTCACCTTGCCAAAATGGCCATGAGGAGCCAGTGAGAGCATTTACTCAACCGTAGAGCCCAGCAGGTGTCAGACAAGATTACTGCGCCGTTTGTTGTTATTAACCTTTGATGATCTCCGCCCTCCAAAGGTCTACGGATAACTTTCCAGAGGAAAGCCAGAGAGCTATGGAAGAAAGCAAATGGCCTCTATTACAAATTAATCCCTTCCCCAGCTGATCCTTTAATAAGCTGGTTAGCCGTCCCTTCAGAAGAGTCAGTTTCTTCCATCAACCCCAGCGAGCTGGAAAACCGGCATATTTTTTTTTAATAATCTTACCTTCTCTGGTGTCAATAGGAAATAATATTTACTCACTACCGTTTTCCTTTCAAAATGCTGTCTAGCTGCATACTAGAAACAGTTTCGGCTGCTTTGTTTGTCTTGGACAAGGTGCTGAAGTGAAAAGTTTTTGCTTGGCTGTGCGCGAAACTGTTTCATAACCCTTCAAGAAGGGCACTGGAGGTGGGCGCCAGCTCCAAGGACGGCTGCCCCTCACAGGCCTCCTCCTGCAGCCTATTGTCAAGGGTAGCCAGATAATTAAATTAAGACAATGAGCAAAGCAACAGATGCAACTGAAACCCAAGGGCCTGAGTGCTTTTGTTCGCCCCTGTCATTGTCTGCAACAAAGAAATCACATGTGAGCGCCCGGGAAGAGAGCCAACGGCAAACCAGACACACAGCTGGTCCTAAATGGGTTCTCTGAGCCCGTGTGCTGGGGAAGCATGCTACTCAGGGCAGTGGTGGGCACGTTTCAGCTCATAGCTCTGCCGGATGCTGAGGCAGACCCCCAAGAAAACCACCAGGGGACACTTCTGCCCACCTTCATCCTGTCTACCTTTGGCTTTAGAGAGAAGAGAAAGGACCGGAAGACAGATCTGTAAGATGGTCAATCTAACCTCATTTTCCCCCTTTTAATGGCTGTATAGCCCTCATACATTTCAAGCCTAAAGAACAGAAGAGACCGGAAGGCGTTCTGTGGCAAATTCGTAACTCAGCCTGAGAAGGGGGGGTTGTAAGCAAGAGATCGTGGGGTTTCTTTCATCGTTACCAGCTCATTCCTGAATTCAGTGTGTGCATTTTAGACTCCTTATTCTTTATTTCTAAGCCAGTGAGCATATTAAAGAGGGAAAAAAAGTATAATTCAAATGAGTATACTCCCCTAGTAAGTGTGGTTGATAAATGTGTAGAATAGTACTGTCGCTATTATAGCTATCTGAAGCACACGGCCAGATGGATCCAATGGGTCCACATGCTTCAAATGGTTTGGGAACTCTAATGATCTTCTCCTCTGTCGCAGATGACTTCATTTGTCTAGAAAACCATTATAAGACAGGGAGCGGAAGTTCATTGGTAGATTAATGTCTAATGCATTGCCCAGTAATGAAAGCATGTTAAGTGAACTTCGATAGAGTCATATGCTATAAAAAGGGAAAGTCTCGGTATTTTAAACTGATGGCATTTCGAGACGCTCTACCCAAGGTCCCACTTTTTTCAGGGCATGCATCTTAACAACGGGGTGCGGACCTGGTATTTTCAAGAGTGTGTTTACGAGATGATGTCCCCTTTCTTCTGTTTGGTCAGTGGGATATGGACTCCCCGAGTTCCCTTTCACATTTCATGAAGGAATCAGTGGTGGAAGTCGCGTTCCTGGCAGTGCTGATCAACAGGTGTCGGAGAAATGGCCACACGCCTAAGAGTCTTGGTTGATAGGTATTGGTTCTAAGGAATGGCAGTGTTCATCAGTATTAAATCCTCACCCTTCCTAGGTCTCTGAAGTCCTTTAGTTCCTAACACAATTGAGATTTAGTAGGCATTACCTTAAGCAGAAAAGTTCTGGCTGCTCTTTATAAAGCAATAATGGAAAACAAGCTTAACAAAACTCCCGAGGTAACCTCGGAGTCTGATGAGTCTGGGGTTTTCTTGCTATTGTTGCTTGGGTCTGTTTTGTTTTGTTTTGCTCACTGAAAGGGGGATATGCTTCTAGTCAGAAGGTTAGAATTCTCCATCCTATGAATAAATCTGGGCCAGAGGCGGAGGGAAAGCATGGCCTCTCTGTGTAGTTACAGAGCAGCGATACCTAGGCCACAGAAGCTCTCAGAGATAAGTCAAGTGTGACTGAAGTATTAACTAAAGGCCTGTCCATCTGTATGTTCCTCCAAGAATTCAAGACCCCAAACCTTCTTTTAGCTGGTTGGTGAAGCAGGAGATATGAAAGGATGAGACCCTGTGTTGGAAAGAGCTAGGCCTACTACCCGGAAGAGTCAGCCGTCTCCTATAGCACAAGGACAAAGGGAAAGGGGCTTTAAGTTACAGAAATTTATTATTATATATCTGATAAAGAACTATAAGAGTGTAAAAATTACCAAAGTAAAGAAATAATAAAGTTTCAAAGGTATCGAAATACCACTTACCCTGTTTTGATCATCATCGTGTATGTGTCTCGAGTTAGTTATCTATCAAATGGTGACGAATAAGCACACGGGATAAATGGATTGTTTAAAGACATGCATAGCTATATAAACATCAACTTAATGGGACCTTTCTTCCTTCTTTGTAGGAAGTACATTTGAAGAACGCAAGTAGAGGGAGTGCGGGGAACAAGAACTACAGGATGTAGGAAGAGCCTCCCGAGAAGCAGAAAATGAGATGTCACCGGCAGGATCCTTTGATCTGCATGAACCGCCTGCAAAACATTGGAAAAAAAACCTACCAAACAATAATACGTTCAATAACATTTCAAAGATGGGCATTTTCCCCCCGTGAAATATACACGTAAACATTCCAATATTGTCTTTAGGAGTGTTTGTTAAAACAAACAAACAAACTTTGCACCTTGCAAAAATGGTCCTAGAGTGGGTAGATTACTGTTGATCCTTTATCAATAATGTTCTATAGAGAAAAATATATATATATAATTATATCTCCTAGTCCCTGCCTCTCAAGAGCCGGAAATGCATGGGTGTTGTATAGATCCAGTTGCACTAAATTCCTCTCTGAATCGTGGCTGCTGGAGCCATTCATTCAGCAGCTGTGTGGAAATGGTTCATGAGTTACTCTCCTTGTTTTCACTTTCCCCCACATAGCTCAAGCTGCCTGTTTCACAGAGTCCAGTAATCTTGTCTGTCCATCTCCAGTAGCCCTGCCCCGTCCCTGAGCTATGGATTTGTTAAATTCGGCCTCCTCAAAAGCAATAGCGAGTTAAGTAGCCAACCGGCCCACCAAGTTTTAACCCACCCGATTCCATCCGTGGCATTTGTACCAAATATAAGTTGGATGCGTTTATTTTAGACACAAAGCTTTATTTTTCCACATCGAGTTACGGCAAAAGAAACAGAATGACGGTAATTGCAGCGTTGAGGCCAATCAGTTCTAGGTGTGTGTTTGGAACATAGGACGTCTCTTCCGCTCTCGATGGTTCCTTCAAATGATAAGTTAGTCTGTAACCTAATTAGCAATTTCTCTTTTTATTTTTTTCCATATAGAGCACTATGTAAATTTAGCATATCAATAATACAGGATCTATCAAACAGTATGTAAAACTCTGTTGTTGTTGTTGTTGTTTTTTAGTACAATGGTGCTATTTTGTAGTTTGTCATATGAAAGAATCTGGTCAAAACGGTAAAAGGTGAAAGCAAAGCCAAAATGAAAGCCTGGAGCCTAAGATGACAAAATTAGGAAAGGAACTAAAAAAGAAAACAAAAATCCATCCTCTTGGGAGATGCAAAGGCCTCCCCAGCTATGCCTTCCAAGAGGAATTTAAGATATGAAGCCCACGAAGACACATGTACTCAGTGAGTCCAGAGAGGACGCTGTGGAGTGTGAGAAAAGCAAGAGGCTAGGGATTTTTCGGAGTCCTGGTTTCTTTTTAATCACTGAAGAAATAAGTAGTTGCAACCTCTGCCACACAGACTCACACCTTGTGACCTTGGTCAAGTCACGCCAACTCTTGGTGCCTCAGTTTCCTCATCTGCAAAATGGGGGCAATATGTAATCTACCTACCTCAAAGGGGTGGTATGAATATTAAAAACGAGAGATCTTCAGATTTTTCCTCTGGGTTTCCAGGAGGGTGTAACACCAGAGCCCTTGAATTGCTGGGATACAAGGAATGCTGGGACTAACCCATTGACAAAGTAGCTCCGTGGATTATCTGCCCATCACTGCGAGGCTACTATGCTATCCAAGTGCTGACTGGAGAAGCTGTCCAATGACCTAGCGGAGAACTAACGACTCCATCTCTCCAACACGAAAAAGTAAGAGACACTTGATTTACAATTTGATTTTACTTCTGCCTTGAATGTACGCATAGAAAGATAAGTAAAAAGACAGAAAGAGGGAGAAAGAGCGAGAGCTTGGCCAATCAAAGACCATTCTACTTGTCCACTCGCATTCAACCTTTCAGGCACTTAGCATCTCGGAATAACTCTAATATTATCAGTGATAATCTACTCAGTTTGAAAACCACATTTTCCTTCCCTTTAGCATATAAAAACAGGCCCAAATATTCTTAAGTTTTGAAATAATATCTATTAAAAAAATCACAAGTTACTTTAGTGGACATAGTCCTATACTCTTGAATGTATATACACTTATTTTATTTAGTGAAAATGTGCTGGCCAGACTGCTAATTGAGAGGCAAAAATTTTTCTTCTCAACCCCAAGGTTCTCCCTAGCATTGCTTAGACGGAAGAATCCAGCTTCCTGCAGGTGTATTGTATGCATCCAACTGGGCATTGATAATCCCCCACAAAAACCCTAGAAAGTGTTTCCTATTTGTGGGGCAAGATTGTCTCCTTCTTTAGAACAAAAAAAAAAATATTCAATGCTCAGATAATCTTATTGTCTGTAGCCTTTTCCTCATTTCCAGACTTCCTTAATATTCTTATAAAATGTTTAAGAAAAACAAATAAACAAACAAAAGACATTTTTACTTTTCCATCTACTGGGTTGCCCCGAGATTCTCTGAATAAGTGCAGGAAGCGCTGTTCAGCAAAGCCCTCAGAAAGCTTGGCGTGCTGAACGTGCCCTACGCACGACGGAGAGACGTCAATGGAATAGACCAGTTTTGCCATCTTCCTGTTTCCCAAAGGTGTGGTGGGAAAAGTTGGACCCTCCCACGCCCACGGTAGCACTCCTAGCATTGGCTCTTGTTTTCAGTGTGTTCCTTTTAAAATTAGTGATTCCCAGAAAACCTCATAGGCAGTCTTCTACAGATCTATGGGCTTCCTGCCGTGGTCGGATGTGGGGATTCCGAGTGTCTGCCGCAGATTTAGTTCATTTCATTCTATACACAGTTGAAAAATCTCTCAATGATGAAAACTTAGATATGCAATCCTTTATCCGATACCTAATTCTCTCCAACTCAATCAGAAATCAACTAATAAAAGTTAATTCTACTAACATATCATTATACTCTCAAACAGATGAACTTGAAGATAAATGTAAGATTAATGAACTGTACGATAAATCTACATAAACTCTGAAAGCCAACCAATGAAGCAGAATGATTCAAGACTGTTAGGAAGAGACACTTGAGGTTTGACAACTCTAAACTTCCGTAGCTTTGCTACGAAGTTAAACTGCTTAGTGTCTAGACACGGGACAACTTTAAGAGGTTCACAAAGGAACAATAAAGATAGGAAGGAAGGAGTTTTCATTTGATAGGCTTATTCCTGATTTAATTAAAAAAGACTCAGTACTTAGTCAAATTTTAGTCTTATTCTCCAAAGAGTATCAATTGTTTGAACATTGTAAGATGAGCCAGTCCTACAGAAAAATTGAGTGCTTCTTTCCATTATAGTCTGCTTTCCTAGGGTAAAAAATACATTCTTAATACTCACCCTATATGCATGTACCCTACACACACGCACCCACACGCGCGCACACACCCACAAATACCTACTTATCATAAGAGACACCAAAACGGAATAATAAGAAGAAATCATTCTCTTGAAAATCTTATTTTTAACAAAAGCAGCCCTGTCCCCTTGCAACTCCTTCCCCTTCTTGGACTGTTGATGCAAAACATGGAAATGTCTGTGTAGATGAAACCATCTCATACCCCACGGCTCCAGGATTTCTGTTATTGGTTTGTGCACTTGGGAGGGTATGCGGGAGAGAGCACGTGGCAGGTTTTGCTTTCCCATTTATTGTTTGGCCAGCTATGCCAATGTGGTGCTATTGTTTCTTTAAGAAAGTACTTGACTATAAAAAAAAATGAAAAAAGAAAAAAAAGAAAGCATAGACATATTTTTTTAAAGTATAAAAACAACAATCCTCTAGCTAGATGACGTAATAAGATAGTATTAGATCTCGCCACCACCTTTCAACTCTGTGTTACTGTGAGTTTGGGAGTTCAGAGACAGAGGATGGGAAGTGTTTAAAGTTAGAAGGCTCCATTATTTCACTGGCTCTCAAAATCAACAAAATTAGCAATATTTTACCCAATCTGAAATGTTGGTCAAGAGTGTGGAGTAAAAGTGGGAGGAGAAAAAGAACTTGAGGCAAATGGCAGCAGAGGGTGACGTTCCCTCGTGCCTTTCTATAGGTTGTTTGGGTTTGTTGTTTAGTTTTGGTCTTGATTTTAGTTTGGTGTGTGTGTGTTTATGCACATGTGTGTGTGTGTGTGTGTGTGTGTGTGCGCGCGCTCCCCTCAGAAACAAATACTCAGATAGCAGAGAAAATAAAAACGGAGGTTTTAACAACATAGACGTACCTATTTGTAGAAACACCTTCTGCCAGGTCCTCTGGGGTGCACACTGATTCCTGGTTTGTAGAGGATGCTCTTACGTCAGACAGCTCAGGGAGTGGCCGCTCTCCTTGAGGCAGCCATGGATCTCGCTGGGGAAGGTTAGAAACTAGTTCCTTGTGAGGTGGGAATTATCTACCGACAGAGAAAGAAAAGAACTCATGAGAAATTTTTTTGAAGAAGATGGCTAACAGTCTGTGAAGATTTTGTTCTGTTTTGTGTTGGGTTTTGGTTTTCACTTTTTACAGTCTTTATGAATGGAAAGCTTAACGTTCAAAAGTGACTCCGTCTTTTTCCTATTTCAGAGCAGAATGGAAGGCAATAAACTCACGTAGACTCTTGGTAGGCTAGCTGGAAATGTACGGTTTGATGGAAGGCGTAAATCACAATCCCACACCAGTTTGGAATTATGATTTATAGAATGGTTATTTATTTAAGGGGGCAAAACTTACAGAGCACCGTCCCTGACAACAGCCCTCTGCGCAATCAGGAAGGGAGCCTAGTCACCGGAAGTGGAGCCGGAAGCCTGAGAGAAAGAGCGCACATGGGCAGGCGCTCTCTGAGGAAAGAGGCCGCTTTTTTAAAGGAGAGAAACCACGCCCCAGTGGGCTGGTATCTCAGCAGCTATTGGCTGGAGGAGCAGAGGAGCTCCCGCAACATTTGACTTATCGAATCAGACTATTTTAAGTGCCCCTTTCTATTTTCGATCCTGGAAAGATTATCTTAATGTATTAGAATAGGCCCTACTTGGCTCTTCTCCCGAGAATGAGCATTCGCGCTCAAAGCACATGGCTTGCCCCATGTTTTCAAAGATGAATGATTAATATTAAGGAATTATTTACCTTAAAATACAGTAGAAGTGTGAGTCTCTGTCCCCACTCCCCCACAAAGGTCATGAAATTCTGAATCTGAGGGGGGAAAAAAAAACCTAAGGGAAATTTTTGTTGCTTGTTTTGTTTTCAAGGCTAGTGCTTAGCCCTGTAGTACGTGTTAGCCTACTGCTATTGTGATATTCCATAAGACTTTCCTGTAGGTATTAGAAATTGACATATAGATACCGTCTTTGTGTGCTTCCCATTTAAAAGAAAAGAGACAAGACTGTCTGAAGCTTAAGTGCATATGGTACATGACACCAATTTAAATAACCACGTCACATCTGAGACAATCCTCTCTTTCTTATCATTTTAAGGAAAACTTCCCCAGATAAGACAGAGGCCCAGGGGACTTTGGAAACTGTCTTTGTTCCTCCAAGTCCTGTTTGTCCTCCCTAGTGACTGCCTCAGAATTTTACATAGGCTGGCCAGCCAAATCCAGCAACCAAAGGACTGCCTTTCCAAACACATTTCACTTGTTCCCTTCTCATGGATGATTACGTTGACTTCAAACATAATTTCTCTCTCTGTTTTTTTTTTTTTTACTCTGTCACTGAGTTGGGTTTTTAAGGAGAAAAAAAAATCATTAACAAAGAATGAGAAAGAAGACAAAAATCCAAATGTCACTGCCCAGTTGAAATAGGAGCTAAAATGGAATACTTTCTCCTACCTGAGACCCAGGCTAAATCACCTTCAGCATGACCTTTCGCAGTCTTTAGAATTGGCCTGTGTTTAAATTGCCTGAGCCTAAAAGCAAGCGTTGTTCATTTATTTTCCTTTGTCCAAAATGCACTGTGTAAAGTACGGCAATAAGAGAAGAACTCTAAAAAACGCCTTTCCGGGCGCCCCCGACTCCACTGCCCAGCTCTTCAGAGTCTCTTCTGCTCATCTTCTGATCTCGTTGTGTTTGAGTATTTACCTTGTACCTACTGCAAAACACCCTGCAGGGGGACGCTGAAACCTCGAGCTGTCTCTTCACAACTCTTCTCTGTGTCTGTGTACCATGAAAATGTCTATTTAAATTATCCAGTTTCTGAACACCATGCCGTCTATAGTCAATTTACGGGAAAGCTCCAGATTATCATATCGTATCAGATCTCTGTTGGTTAAAGTGCTAATGAGCTATGAGAATTTGGATGACGTCATGTATTTTTGCTTCATTTATTCTTATCACACTTAGCAGCCAATTGTGATAATTAACTTACAGGCATTGAATTAATTTTCCTCCTGAAGCCGGAAAGTAATAATTGGTCGTTCATTGTATCTCTTTTATTCAAAAACATCTTCTATCAAATTAATCCTGATTGTGTTTGAAATGATTATTACTCAATTCATTTATGGCGAAACAATATCAGTCCTAACGACTTCTAGACATGTAACTAACTGACTCATTATCTTACATTTACTGTTTAGCAAGCATATTTTGAAAATGTATGGCTAGAGTGTCATAATAAAATGTTATATCTTTCTTTAGTAATTACATTAAAATTAATCATGTTTGATTAATTGCTTCCTTTGATGTGGTCTGTCATTTCTTAAGAGGCTTACAGTTATGTCGCGTTTTTAGTAGGGACGGTGAGAGAAACGCACAAACACAGAAAACACCCGGAAAAAAAAAAACAACCTTAGTCAAACATCACAGCGATATCTTAGAATTTACAAGAGTTTCAAAGGACTTATGGAAAGCATAGATGAGATTATTAATTGTATAATCCATCCATGAGCAATGAAGCAGGTAGGTGAGACCCACCCCATCCACTGGGACCCAACAGTGACGTGTAACCCATGATGCAATTATTTGGGAAAATATTTTTCGTGCCAGGAGATCCAACAGCATCCTAGAAGGCACATACACAAATAGCACTGGATGCACTCACATGAGAGATTTTGTATGATGTGATCTCCCAGCATTGAATTATTTTAAGAAATCTACGTACTGAATACATACCATAGTATCCTACTCCCACAAGCATTAGTCGAGGACAAGTTGTGGCATATAGAACTTTCCCTCCTGTTCAAGAGTCTGATTCTACTTCCCTTTTTATAAACCTACCTTTAACTTTTTAGAACGTTACTGAGAAGTAGACAGGAGTCACGTGATTTGCACTTGGATTTAAGGAAATAAGACAGATGTTTTCCTTACTATCGTCTCGCACACCCTTGGTAGCTGACTTCAACTTAACTCCCAATCCTGTTCCTTTAAAATTGCCATGGATTTTTCCACCAATATTCTGCAGCCCCTCTTTCAAATTCCGATGTGGCAAGAGTCTTCTCTGTAGCTCTTCCCCTTCCCCCGCCCAAGATGACACCTTTCCCCTCCATTTCCATCCGCCTAACCTAGTCACACCCTTTTCTGAAATGTTTTGTGGATAATGAAGTGAGAGGTTGCTAGGCACGTGACAGAACAGGGTTTCCACTTCGACACCCAGCATCATTAGTCCAAACGCACCAAGGAATCTCTGACTCTCACAGGCCACTGGGTAAGACCCTGTCCTTTTTTGAACTTCACCTAGGAAACCCTTTACAAGCTTGCAAGAAAGTTCTGTTATGTTCTGGGAAGCAATTGATCACAGTTTTACCTATGTTTGGGGGTATGGGCAGACTGATTTACTTTTTAGTGTTAAATATTGTCCAAAGCCATTTATCCTCCCGAAGAGCTAAGGAACAATTCTTCCCCTGGGAAGTTCTCCATGATTATCTAGGCCAAATCATTGCCTTTCATAAAAATAACATTCCTCGCTCTTTGATGAATATCAGTGATAATTAGCATGAACAGTAACAATAATAATGGCTGACAATAAGTTATTACTATGATCTACCTATACCGTGTCATTTATCTTTGTTTTTTAAGAAAAGCATCAAGCACCATTATGACTCTGAAACTAGGGATGGAGGCTCAAACTCACTGATAGACTAAAAGTCAAAGACTCCAAGCAGACCTGAAGAAGATCTGAAGACACAAAAGACCGTGTACTCAAAACGTCATCATTTCATATTCGATTCAGATGTAAGGACATAGCATACTAATAATAGACACTTCCCATTCAAGTTCATTTTCAGTGTTAGAGGCAGGAGTGTAGCTGCCTATGTCTTTGAGTTCTAAACCACATGGGAGCACATCATCAGGGTAAATAAGCGTTTCTGCACAGCAGCGATGTTTGTAAGCTCAACTCTCAACATTGCTTCTGCCCCTCTTCTGCTTGTTTAGGCTGCAGTGCTAATTCTTGAGAGCGCTCTGAATAGTGACTGGGAAATTCAAGGGCCAACCAGTCTTGGAATACATTGAGGAGCAAGGTTATGTCTTAGACCTGCAATAATCTAGGGATAAATAATCCCTATATAAGGAAATGTGTAAATTGATCATGAAGACTCTTATCAGAGATTTGGAAGTAATACATCTGCTTTTATTCCCCCAAAAGTTTTTCAAATTTGTTGAGGTCTCAAGGGCCAATGGCTGAATTGGATGTTCTAGAGGAAAAACCATATCTTTATAGTCTGGAGTTTCATAATATCAACATACCTACACCTCTTCCTCTGCAGTTCACCTTAGCCAAGTCACACGAGAGGTTCCAAACTTTTGAAAACCTATGGAGTCACTCAGAGTGATGAGAATAAGGGAAATGTTATTGGCATTTCTTGAGCAGGACCAAGACTTCAGACATGTCACATGAACGAAAACATGTTTATCCTATTTCCCATCATCAGAGCCTAGAATGCAACTTCAACTTATTACAAGTTCCAAGTATTTCTTTCATGGTTCCAACTTAAGCTGAATACAAGGATGAAATCGCCATCCATTCAAGGGGAGGTCACAGTGTCCCTTGTTTGGAACCTTTGTATCCACCATTTTGGGAAATCACCTCAACAATGGTGACCCTTACTGGGTTATTGGCCGTCTCCCCTCTGCATCTGTATTACTCTATGTCACTAGAGTTCTTCACATGACTGCAAACACCGAGTGGCCTCGTGACATTTTTCAGTGGGGCAGTGTCAGGCATTTCAATCTTGTGTGTGTTTTGCTGTTATGTTCTGTCTCTCCCTGCTACTACAGCCTGAGCATCTCTGTGTCTGTTGAAACTGTATCTCTGATATGGAGTTTCACTTTGGGGCAGTAGCATATCAAAAATAGTCGTTACGAAATTTATCAGAACTATGGTTCTGATAAAACAGAAGACCCCAGGACTCAACCTAGGTCACAATGGAAGATGGATTACAGAGCATTTGTTCCCACACAGTGAAGAGTCCTCGGTGCAAGGCTAAACTGAAAACCATCTCCCATTTATAGATAGAGACTAATTCTCCTTGGGATCCAACAAAAAGGAGTGGTTATAGTTACTGCAACATCTGGTTTCCAAGGGTTCTTTCCTTCACCCTGTGAAGGCTGAGACGACTTTGCAAAGAATACACCAGTCGCTGGAAGCAGAAACAGCTGTCAGTCGGGTCTAAAACAATTGCAGCTGCGCATCAGAGTCAGAATTGCTTTTGGAGCGCAAGTAACTGGGAGATGCCCCTCTTCTTGGCATAAAGGACGGGCTAAAGATTGAGTAACTCTCCTGCCATTTCCCAACACAGCTTCGCTTTTTGAACTCAATGCTTCTGCCTACCCCCAGCATCCCACAGAAGGGACAGAGGAGAACATTTCTTCTTCCAAACGGAAATTTGAGACCGGAGTCATAGCAACTTCTCCATTCAAATGATGTAAAAAGAACCTAGCATTCCACCCCATAAACATGGAGCTATTCTCCCAAACCTCAAATCTCTAAAACATGGAAAAGGGGTGAGAGCGGATTTTTTAGATACTGAAGTAGAAATCGGTAAGCAAAGCGGAGGCACTGTTCATGATTGTGCCGCCTGCCTTGTTTGGCTCGGAACTTCTATTTAGCCACCCTTATATAACCTAAACTAGGCACAGTTAGAACTCCCCAGAATCAGATTTCTGCTTTATTTCTCTCGCTTTAAAGGTCATTTGGAAAGGGACATTCCTACCCTTCTCCCATGGCCAAACAGATTGATTCTCTTAGACTGCAGATACTGAGAAGAAGCCTCTGGTATCTCTAGGCCCCAACCGCTGTAGTAAAAGCTGCCATGAAACGCTCTGCTTCTGATTGTATTAGGATGCGCTGCTTCCTTGTTTGTGCCTGAGCTAATAGGCCAAACAGTTTATAATTAACATAAGCCTCTGTGTGTTTCTTTGGGACTGAATAGCGGCAGGACTGGGGAGGACAGATATCTTCCATCTACCGTACCATACAGCAGACACAGATTTCCAAGTCGGGCATTTTCTCATTGTGCTATTGTAGTTCTTTCTGTTTCCCCACCCCATCCTGGGCAGATGAGCTACTGCCCCTCAGTAAATGATCTGTAACTTCTTCTGTGATGGTGTCAGGATAGCGCCACGTTATCACCCAAATAAGCCCGCCTGTCAGTGCAATCAACTCAACGTATGTGGATCAGTTGCTCCTTGTCATGCCCAAACACATATTTTTTTCAAACAGTTTTTAATTAAATTCATCAACATGTCTCTGTAGTTATTCTGCATTTATTCTTTTACATTTAGGCATGTATTCCATAGCATAGTCCCCTAAGGTATCAATCTTACTTCTAGTAGCCTGCTCAATGGCATTTGGTCTCTCATCCTGCAGCCTTCAGTGATTTAATGTCCCCAGGGTGACAAACTCTAATCCCCCGAAAGAAAAGGCAGTCTGTTTTCAAGTCCATATTAAATCATCAAGATTTCTTATGAGTCTTTCAAGATACATGAAATATTCTTCTGTATCCTTTTGGGACCCTGCTCTGGGACCCTGCAGTGTATCCATTGGCTGGAGAGCAGTTTGAGAACCTGGAAGATCAATTGTTGAAGATGCAGTATCCACAGAAACAGGCTTCGGCTACTACCCCCAACAAGCATTGCTCATGGTTTATATGGCAGAAGTCTTCTGGATTCTTATCTCGGGGCTAACTTATAGATGTCATCATTCCTTTGGAAGGCATGGAATATTGGATGCTGTATCCTAGTATGACAACTGCCAAGAATTTTAGACGTGCGGGTATATTCTCAGAAAGAGAAATACACTGTATCATCCATCGAGCTGAAGCAGCCTGATGGGATGGGGAAAATCTGTCAGCGAAAGGTTTGCTTCCAGTCTTTGAGGCACACTCAGTGTTCTCCAGGATTTATTTGTAGGTGACAAAGTCGGCTTCAAAAAACAAACAATAATACTCCAGCACGGGTAAGGAGACACTGATGGCAAAGGCCCATGCATTCCTGGACCACCACACTGGCCCAGCAGAGGCAGATGGGAGTAGAGGCGCTTGTGATAGCTCCATGTGCATCTGGTTAAGATTCATCTCCCAAGAGTTGAGCGAGAAAGGCAGATAGTGCTTCCCAAAGCAGTGGCGCAGAGGAACTCGTCTGAACCTGTTTATTCCAGTGGCTTTAATGGACTGTACACGACCACTCAGAGTTTCTCACCAGGCCCTCTTGGGACAGCGCTTCACGGTTTTGA